AGCAGAAGTGCAAGATTACAATTTGGCTTCCTAATTTTTGTTGAACAGCTCCATTCGTTGCACAAAGAAAGAAGTCACAAATTATGTGTTTCATCAATGTAAGTCTGTTCACCTAAATGTATTTAATTTTAATAATAATCCCTTACACTTATATAGTGCTTTTCTGGACACCTTACTGAAAGCGCTTTACACCACCAATGAGTAGCCCCCACCTGGATGATGTGATGATAGCCAAAGTGCACCAGTACACTCACCATACATCAACTATCAGTGGAGAGGAGAACACAGAGATGAAGCCAATTCAGAGATGGGGATTTCTGAAAGGCCATGACTGGTAAAGGCTAGGGGGAAATTTGCCCAGGACACTGGGGTAAATAATTCGTTCATATCCATTATTAATTTAATTCTTTCGGTTTGTTTTTTGCTTTGAATGTGTAGAGTAGATTGGGGTCTGAATAATTTTGCAATACATTGTATACACTCTTAAGAATATAAAAAGCATTTGTGACACTGATTCTGATGTTCATTAGAAAAAAAAGTAATTCATAAAAGGTTAGAGCAGGGAGCTGAATCAGCGTGTACACTGCAAAGTAAAAAAGTAGATGTAACTTCAGTGCTGGAAGGAAAACGAAAGTAGAAAAAACAAAATCTCAGCTGTGGAGCCTTCTGCAGGTGTGTGTAGTTATCCATAACGCTGCAATGTTACATCTCAGTAATTCACAGCACTCCAAGGAATAACTAAACCTGAAGGAATTTTATTCTAATTTCATCTAAAAAATCACCCTTGCTGCAAAGACAAGGTCAGATGAGGAACTGAATGTATTTATTTTGGAGCACGTCTGCTGGGATATGGTGTTTTTTTTTTGTCTAAGATCATATTAGCCCTTTGACTCTGAGTCCAGCAGATTAATGATCAGCTCATTGAAGTGCTTTGAAGATATATGTAAGAAAAGTAAAATCATATGCTGTTTTATTAAATAACAATAAAAATATTAAGCAGCTTCTCATGAACATGTTTCACCAGGTAACTTAATTTATTTATAAGGATGAATATAGCACAATGTATTTTAACTGAGTAACAAATTAGAATGTATCTAAAAAATATGCACATCTGTTTTTACTGCATGTTAATTTATATTGATAAGATAATGTAGAGTAATGTAAAACTATTAACTTATATAAACAGCTATTCAATGAAACAAAAAAGGTAGTTTTAATTGCATTTCACTGATTTTGTAATGTGTCAGAAAATGTACTTTGAATTTTACTTCATTAACATGAAAAAAGATATATAACAATTTATTTGATTTATTAGATTGTGTGTTAATATACTAGATGAATATGATGGCTTATGTATACAGTAGTGATCAATCCAGCACAAACTAATAAAAATGCTCTGCAGGTGTTCAATTATCAAATGTCAGTTTGGCAAAAATATAATTGTACTCAATGATATATTGAATTGCGTTAAACCATGCAGAGATTATTATATAATTTTATTAGTTCAGAGTCAACATTTTCTTGATGTAATGAGCTGATTTAAACAATTTCTTGGTGTACTATCTACTTTTTATTGGTGTAAACTCTACATTCTTAAGCATGTCCCCTAAGGAGTTACAGAGTTCAATTTACCACTAGATGGCAGTCTAGTTGTGATTTGAAAAGAAACACTGACAGATTTTAAACTCACTCTTATGTAAATTCTTCTTCAGTCTCAATCAAATCAATAACACACCCTTCCAATTGTTTTAGAATATTCGGTACACAGACACTTGCTGTAATGTAAAGTTCCCCCTACATTGTTTTCTTACAGTATGTACAAAAAAGAACTAAAAGTGTTAAAAGTGTATGGCTGTATCCCAGTGAAAGCACAATTGTGTTGTAGGTTTGCTTCGACGTTTGCTAGTCTCATATCAGAACAAAACAAAAGATGAACCAGTTTTAACCAACTGTGAAGAAATGAAGGTGACATGATTACAACAATCGTCATAGGAATGTGTGGATAGGAAATAGAACCTAGGATGTAAAATATCCTTGCCTAATTTACTTTTTGGTAATAGAGAGCCACATTAGATAAATGTTTAACTGGACTAAATATCTACAGTAAATTAATACATCTCGCAGGCCTCTGGAATCAAGCTAAAGAAAAAAAAAACAGGTGGTTGATTACCAATAGACAGTTGTGGAATTCTTGCTACCGTGAATTTAATAAATTCGAATTGTTAGTACAGGGTGTTGCACAATAGAAATCAACATTTTGAAACACCCCTCTTCTCCTCCTGCCAACTTTGAATACCAAAATTTTCCAGCGGCTTCTTACATATAACCGAAGGAATCTCACCATCAGTTAATACTACTATTACTTCAAATAATAATTAATAATCCCTTACACTTATATAGCACTTTTCTGGACACTCCACTTAAAGCGCTTTACAGGTAATGGGGACTCCCCTCCACCACCACTAATGTGTAGCACCCACCTGTATAATGCAATGCCAGCCATAGTGAGCTAGTATGCTCACCACACAACAGCTATTAGTGGGGAGGAGAACAGAGTAATTAAGCAACTTCGTAGAAGAGGATTATTAAGAGGCCATTATTGGTAAAGGCCAGGGGAAATTTGGCCAGGTTGCCAGGGGTAACACCCCTACTCTTTTCAAAAAACACCCTGGGATTTTTTTTTTTATGACCACAGAGCGTCGTGACCTTTTATTCATATTCCAAAGGACGGTACCTTTTTGTACAGTATAGTGTCCCCATGGCTATACTGGGGCATTAGGACCTACACTGACTCACAGACTGCAGGGTATGCTTTCCCTACTGGTCCCATTAACACGTCTTCCAGCAGCCACCTTAGGTTTCCCAGGAGGTTTCTCATTCAGGTACTGGACAGGCTCACACCTGCTTAGCTTCAGTGGGCTGCCAGTTGTGAATTACAGGGTGATATACTGTAGCTGCTGGCTAAAGGTTTGAGATTTACTAGGTTTGAGATCTGCAATTGGAGGGGTGAGGTTTATTTAGCCAGTGAACCAGATGGCAACTCTCACTGATGTAGGTAATTTGGGCTCATAAATCATACCCTGAATCATCCAGTCATTCTGTGTGTGTTCCAAGTGCACACATAGCCCCTGGAGGGCCAATATGTCATCTAGCATTTGTTCTACACAAGCTCTCATGGTAGCTAATTGGTTTAATTTTTTAATAAATTGATAATTGTCATATTTCAGTCTCCTTATGCTTTTAACCATGAAACCGATGTGAATTCAATAGTCCAATTTGTGAAAATATCGGAATATTTATATACTGAACATGAAAAAAAACATCAGTTATGACCACAAATTCAATGTATTTGTTTTCCTAAAACCATTCTGGAATAATAGAGTGATAGGTTTACTGGTTTGATGACCAGTATATATTTATTCTGGTAGTGTGGGAAATTAACCTCAATCAATTATAAAGGCTAAACCTTTGCAGACTATGCATGGTGACACTAGGTGAAGTAAGTCATGTAAGCAAAGTTAAATAATAAAGAGTTTTTATTCTTTATTATTTAATCACATTTCAATGATACCAAAGAAAGCCATATGGCAAATTCATTACCCTGTGAATAATTTAGTACCTGAAAAATAATAGGTGTTAAAAACAAATCATATACAAATTACGTTTAAACACGATTCTTGATCAATTGAGCTGGCAAATACATCAAATGGTCACACACTTAATTAAACTCTAATACAATCAGAGGTCTCCACAAATTTTAATCTCTGAAAGGCTAAGTCTCTTTTCATAATATATATATATATTCTTCTGTAAACCCCCAATCTTGATTGATGCATTTTCTCTGTTAAAAAAAAAAACTTAATCCAAAGGGCAATTAAGACTGAGAAGCTGTGCCTGGAAAATTTAGAGTGAAATTAAATAATTGCATAAATATATAAAATACAGTTCCTTTTACAAGATTTAACATAAGTCCTCCACTCCAGGGGCAATTATCTGATAGGTTTCTGCTTATACTGTAAATGAGGAACCCAAATGGTAAAAATTGTCTGTAATTCTGTTTCCACTCCTGTCTCTTTTCTTATTGCTTTTTTTTTCTTTTTCCTTTTTACTGGTTCATTTTTGCGCTCCCCTCTTGAGAGATGTCTTAACCAACTTCGTTTAGGCAAAAAGAAAAACATTGACTCACTGTGGGGGAGGTCTCAGACAGTAATTTTCTCACCTGTGTCTGCCCATCATGAATTCATTAACTTTTAAGAACTGTCTAGTGAGAAATAAGTGAGAAAATCTTAATTAACAAGTTGAGGAGAGACTGTATGCAGTAATGTGTGCTGAAGCTGTTGGAAGTAATACACTTTAACTAGGGTATTTGTGAAACCAAGGACTGAGTACAGCATGTAGCAAGCAGATTAGCTAGAAGCACCAATTAGCATTGGTGATTAAGGGCTCTGTTGGAACTAAAATGAGTAGACACAGTGGTAGGTGTGATACTGGACCATGATCAAAACCCACTGAACTAGGTTAACCCTTGTCTGAATTGGATACTGTAGATACTGTAATGTAATGAGTGAGTCCCGTCAACAGGAAGGCAAAATCAGGACAAACTGTATCAATGCCAATCTCAATTAAGTTCATAAAATGAGCTTGTATTACTAAGTACAAAACTGTGCACTTAATAAACCACTTACCAAAGTAAAAATATTCATTATTCTTACTGAATTATGTGTTATCAAACATTCACTTAAGTGTTTATGTGTTACAGTGTAATCAATAGCCTGTGTTGTTACAGTACTTACAGATCAGGAAGGTTGAACCTTCACCCTCTCACATACAGCACAGTACTTTACCTTGGTGCTATAAAGATTCAAAGCTGGGACAGATGGTTGGCAGATCTTCCTGCCTCCCTCTGTGTGAATTATTAATACATTCATCCTCTCCTATTCTCTCACATTTCAACAGGTACAGTACCCAAGGTACAATAGCACACCTCTCTTAATCCCCGTAAAAGCTCTCCTCTTTCCATCACACACACATGTCTGTGTTGAAAGATAGTGCTGGAGAAACTATTGCTTTTCCCCAAATTTACAGGTAAGACATGGTTTTCTTCTGTGCTTAAAACAATAACAGTGAAATGTTTTCTTTCTTTCTCAACAAACAATTTTTTTATTTGCAGTAAACATAGTCAAAATACAATTTGTGCTTTGGGTGTTTAAAATGGGTGGCAAAAGATTGCTATGAAAAACCTCAATGTCTGAATAATTTATATTAGCAGAGCTTTACCCTCTGCTCAGCTGGGTGACAAATACACTGTTGTTTTAGTATAAGATTTTTTGATAGGAGATCTTTTTAAATATCTGATGTTTGGTCTGATGTTATTAGCAGCTGGAAACATTTTTTTCCTTTAGTATAGTGTTATAAGATTTATAGAGATCTAAAATAAATAAATATAAGAGTTATGGGGATACTGCAATTTTAAAGTGTTTACTCTAAACTAGTACTAGAATTACTAGTTTACTCTAAACTTGTACTCTAAATACTGTTGTGTAAAATAACGTTAAAGTTAATGATCAGTTAGTGTTCAAAACTTTTAATTTCCAGTATTGTAGTCTACTAATATATATCTACCTGTACTTGATTTTACCTCATCAGTATCCCTTTAATATACAAACAGCACAATCAAAAGTGATTTAGCAGTATTTTTACAGCAATTTTACTATTTTCTTTTCAAAGTTTGGAATTAAAATGTGCATTATCTGATTTCATATTTTTATACTGAGTTTGGGAAACCATTAATGAAACAAATATATTATTCATTCAGACAGATCAAAAACTATTTTAAATATATAATGTATAATGTTAACTATTTTGAAAAAATATATTAGTTATTTACAGTAATGTTTAATTCCTGTTTTTTCTAATTACTTTTTGTAATAAAAAAAGTTTATGATCAGAAATCATATTACCATATATTTTGAAATAAGATACACATAACATAAAATGTTTTTCTAAAATTTTTCACAAAGGTTACAACAAAGGAAAGATGAGGGCCTTTTACATTTGGTTTCTCTTCCATCTTTGGTTTGGAAGTTCAACTTTTGTGCCACAGTGTGAGAAGGGATGTGATTGTCAAGAAGTCTTGAAATGTGTTAACTGCTCAAAAGCAGCTTTCACCTATATACCTGGCAACCTCTCCTCAGACACAGAACACTTTGATTTATCCTGGAACAATCTGACAGTCATTCCTGTGGGAGCTTTGAGTTTCTTGTGGAGGTTAAAGGTGCTGCTAATTAATGACAACGACATCAGGGTCATAGAAGATGGTGCCTTCTCGTGCCTTGAGAATCTCCGGAGACTGGATCTGAGCCGCAACAAGATCTCCTCTCTTGGCAACGGATTTTCCATTGGGTTGCAGTCCCTTGGAGAGCTACTTCTGTCAGAGAATCAGCTGAGGGCTCTGAACAGCGAGAGCTTCCAGCACCTGGACAACTTGCAGAAACTCAACTTGAGCTGCAACAACATCAGTTACATCGAGATCAGAGCCTTCAGGCACATGACCTATCTCAGGCAACTGCACCTGAATGAGAATAGGCTGGCAACCCTAAATAATAATATTTTCTCTATGTTGAAGTCACTGGAGGTTCTTAACCTTGAAGGAAACCAGATCAATAATACGGATCTTGATGTTTTCATGCCCTTGAGTAGCTTAACATTGCTGAACTTGGTTCAAAATCAACTACAGAGCATCAAATTTAAGACTTTTGTAAGCATTCACAATTATGAAACCCATATCTTGCTAGCTGGAAACCACTGGCACTGTGACTGTGACCTCCAGCGGGTCTTTCGGAAACTTCAGAACACACAAAGACTGATCTTGGATGACTATGAATACCTGACCTGTAAAGAGCCACATGAACTTGAAGGCCACAAGATTGTAGATGTGGAAAATGAGCTCTGTTTTGGGGAGACAGTGACAGTCTTGATCATCACCTTCACAGTTATTGTCACTGTGGTGGCAGCCATTGTCATGGCCGAGAGAAACAGGAAAAAACGGACTGGCAAGCACTGGAGTGAGGAGAGTGATATGACCTATGACTCCCAGGACTAGCTGGTTCTCACCTTACAGTGCCATGGCCTCTCCACAGAAATACCATACAGTGTTCATAGTTTGAATGATTTGTCAAGACAATTTTTAATGCATTTTTTTTCAAAATATTTGAAGATGAGGGGAAACTTATAACCCTTTAGAATGCAGTTTATCATCTTGATCAGCAAACACCAAAAACATTTAAAATTAATACTGCATTACTTAGCATACTTCTGCTCTAAAGTTCTTCAGACATATTATTTTTATTTTTTCAGTTATAGTTATAAAGCAATGCTTAGTTTTCAATGAACTGGTATAGATGTTAAAAGTTTACCCATAGGACAAATGCTAATGTTAACTCAATTAACTCAATTTTGCAGATGTTCCATTCTTTAAAACTATCATATTAGCTGATGTTGTATAACTTATGTCATAGTAAGTAATAATTTTATAAGGTAATGGAAATTATTATAGGAAATAAAGCTCTATGGAAATAATATCCTATAATATAATATCCTAATTAATAAAATTGAATTAGTAGTGTATAACACACTACTGTAGACAAGAAAAAGGCGACAAAAAGACATGATACAACAATGTAAGGCAATACTGGAAATTTTCTAAATGTTTTGGAGATTATAAGCATTAGAATTTTTTAATTAGTTTTAGCATGGAGCACTTTTTAAGTGCATTATGGAATTGAGGTTCATCCCAGTGGTAGCAAGCCTAATATCTGGTTCAGTGGACATGCTACATGCTAAAGTGTTTTTTTCTATTTTTTCCATTACTAAACATAGAAACCTAGAACGGAAATGCAAATGAATGCTTTCTTTTGCAAATGTAGCCCTAAGATTCATTCAAATGCATTTTTCCAAGTGATATCTTGCTAATTAAAGATAATCAATTGACGTTGTCATTAATTTGGTGGGTTGCTGTCATGATTATAGTCCCTCCTCCTCAAGGGTGCTCCGACCCTTTCACTTCAGACTTGATTATGTGCACCTGTCCCCTGTTCCCAGTCCACCTTAAAAGCCAGGCGCTGACGTTCATCCGGGCTCTGCAGCTGATCTCCATATTGTGCGAGTCCGGGACCTGGAAGCGCCTGGTCCCGTTAAGGTTTTAATCTCTGTTCCCGTTCCTGTTCCCCTTTCGCCGGTTCCGACCCGGTTCATGTTTTTTATTCCCTTGTTGGATGGATCACCTGGCCATGGATTTATTCTTGTGTTTTTGGATTACCCTCTGGATTACTTTTGGATTGTTTGCCCCAGACTCACTCCCCTGGACACCTGCGCACTATGGACGCCCCCCCTTCACCCCGTATTCTTGCATGATCTTTTTCCTGGTGTTTCCTTACTTTTCCCTGGATCGTGTCGTCCGCATAGGGTCAGAAAGAACTGTTCGTTACAGTTACATTGTAGATTATCTTGGAAAACTGGATTTTAGATTCCTGAACATGATGATGTATTTTTTTGCAACAAAGGTTTTTTTATTATGTGTTTATAATTACAATGAAGACAGAGATGCATTTAATACCATGAGGATATTTGTACAGAACATTTTATTAACAGTCATGATACATAGCAGCAACCTTTCATAGCATCAAAGTATACCTTCCAAGAGTTCCCATGCATTATAACATTGCAACATAACAGGCAACTGCCCTTACATCAACTCCTAGATTGTAATTAAGAAAAGATTATGACTGAATTATGTAATGTGAATGCTTTGTGTGTGATATTGTTAGACACAATGTGATGATTTTAAGAATTCTATTTTCCATGTCTTGCAATAATTTCAGGTAGCACTGGTACTGTGATTGCCACTTCATTAAAGAAAAATATACTATGATGTAGGGCAAAGAAAATTTGGAGCATAATTTATTGTACAGAGAAAGACACAGAAATATGGGAAGCTATGCATTCAAATGGGATTGTAAATTTCTTTTTGACCTCACACTGCTAATCTCAAACTTAATATAAGAGTGGAATATTTCAACCAAACACTGATTATTGCTAATAAAATGACATTTTCTTACACATTGGTATGGCGTAGATATGCTTCAACTTAGGGCTGAGTAAACATCTTCTAGGTGACTGAGGTACTTCAGTAAATACTGTGTAAAAGGGTAAAAGCATAAATTCATTGTACCACACATGCCAAAATTGTCTGTAATTAAATCTTATTAGAAACTCCTCAAACCCATAAAGGTTAGGAGAAGTAAATTGTTATATATTCTGCTTCACTTTTGTTAACTTGGATTTGTACTTGTATTTGGCAAGTACTGGTGCCTACTCGTCTTCTTGGTGCTCAAAGAACTCATGGCAACAGATGGTCACCATGGTGATGAAGGTCATGAATTCCTGGAAGTCACACTCAGAATCGCCATCTGTGTCCAGACTCTCTATTAAACTGTCCATCGTGGCCTGGTCTTTGATTTGCTGAAATAATAAAGAGGAATGCTATATCAACATTATGATCTTGATCTCATTTCAACCCTTTGTCTTGATGACTGCTTTAACCTAATTAATTAAAAAGAAAACTTGGGTGTGTTACAAATTCAATCATTGTAAAGGTATTTCACACTCTTTAAAGGATTACATGTTTTTTTTTTTAAATTATACATTGTAATACTGTATTTCTTGTAGCTTATATGTACAATAAATAATGTAGATTATTTACCCATGGCTTGTATTCATTGTTAGCATTAAAACCTTTCTCATTTTAGTGCCTGTAAGTTATTGTTCCAAAATTTCCTTTAAAATAATGTACAGGATAAAATAGCCTATGGTATAGATGAGATACAGTAGTTAACACTGTGCTGCAATAATATAGAATTATTTTCACTTAAAAACTAAATTTTAATGATTCAACATTTAATTTTATATTTCCTAGTTATAAAATAAAGCAATAATCCTCAGGATATAATTACACAATGTGTTTTTCCACAAGTTCATATAATAATATCAGTTTCCACAAAACATTTTTATATAGGCTGAAAACTGAAATACATTTTTCATTACTAGAAAATAAAAGAAAAAGTATTTCAATTAAATGGTGTATTTCTATATTTTACTGTCCAGACAAACAGATTGTTTTTCAAGAAAAGTTTTTATGACTATGGCTTTTGCAAAAACACTTAATAAAAATGTGAAAACAATTATTCTCACCCCCACATAATTTGATAGTTCATTGTTGATCAGTTCTTTCAGTTCACTTTTCTTCAGTTTATGCTTATCGCCTTCTTTTTCTGAATACTTGTGAAATACATCAATAATGGTTGCCAGAGAATTTTCTAAATCAGTCATATTTAAAGCAGGGCCTAAATCTTAAATGAAACAAAAAAAAATAGTTTTACTCCAAAACACATACAATAATGGGATTACAGTGTCCTAAGGTCTTAAATTAACAGAAATGCTGTTCTACAGTACATGTTCATGCAAATTTAGATTTAAATTGTTGACAAAGATGTGAGTTATGCACACAATTAAACAATCTGTTGACTATATTTAATACATGAGCATACTGCACCTTGGTGCTGATGGATTTCAGAAAAACTTTTTTCTCCCTGAAATATCATCTAAATGTGAGCGCTTGGAAGTTCATTTTACACTGTATGTGAGTATAACTTTCTTTTACTTCTACTTCTGATCGTAATTCTTAAAAATCTACTCATGATTTTTCAATCGTGATTAAATTAAATGGTATTATTACCACTATTTCTTCAAATAATCCTATATCATGGCACAATTTTATTTAGAAAACTGTTCCCATGAACATTATTACAGATCAGCGTCAGATGCCAAAGATGAAACATCTAGGTTCCAACTTGAGTAAATCCTGCTTTTTTGTAGAGATTCCTTGTTGTGGCTCTCGAAAATATAAAACATATTCTGTGAATTTCTTTTACATTTTACTTAATTTTAATCTATTGAACCGATATTTTAGCCATCTCTCACTGAAACTGAATGATTTTTTGTTGGTCTACTGAGTTTTTCAGTATAGAAAGAAATGCCCATACTGTTGAAAAGGTCATGTAATGTTGAATACTGTTCAATTGAGAAGGTCATGTTCTAGTATGTATTTCAAAAACTGAACTAAATAATATCCTTTAGCTATCCCTATAGATCAAAAGAAACAAACTCACTTAGAATCATTGTCCAGTAAGTGATATGTCAATCATTAATTGTCTGGAAATGATGGCATTTCTTATCTTTAAAAAAGACTGCTCATAGAGTTATGAATGCATTTATCCTTTTAAGTTTGACTTCCTAGCTGTTCAACAAGGCAGGCTTTCTTTTCTGAATTAGAAACTTGAGGAAATTCAACTGTTTGCAGCATACCGGTGTGAATTTATATTTAAAAAAATGACTAAGATTGCAGTACTTTCACATACAGTAGTGAAATCACTGCAGACCACGAGATACACAAGAATAACAAAAAAGTAATAGAAATACACCAGAACAGGGAAGGGGGCATATCATGTGTGAAATAATATATAAAGTATACTGTTTTGTTTGCTTGGTTCATATATTTATATACAGTATAATGTAAAGCATATTTAACATGGTTATATGATATGAAATATTTTTCAAATCTATCCAAAATCCAGAATAGTAAGATTTGAAATATAAATAGCATTAAAGAGAATTATTACTTGAAATCCCAATCTTTTACATAAAATATTTGTTAAAGTTGCTTAAAGCACATTTAATTTTGAAGGTATACTTTTTTACCTGTTCTTTGTCTTCTAACAACAGGTGATAAATATCTACAAAACAAGTCCTACAGAATAGAAGCTTCCTGAATGTAGTATCGTTATATTTAATTAAACTAATTAAGGTAAACCTAGAAACCTATCTATATAAATCTAAAAGCTAAAGTGAAAAGTAAAATTAAAGAACGTGTGAGACAAATTAGGAAGAAAAGTTGCCTTTCAACTTATTTTCAGCATGACTTTGTTACTTTTTATTTTTTAAGTAAACCATCTGCAAAAAACAATCTTAGACAAAAAATCACTTACCTCCTTGTAGATGATTTGAAAAGTTTAAGAAACTAAATTCCAAAACAGAAGTAGTGTCTTTTTATACGCTGGGCGTGGAGAGTTGCCATAGCAACTGTAGCCCTTTTGCCTCATTTTGAATCATGTGGCTCGTCTGAAACAATCACCCTTTATTCTGCCATGGGACAGTGACAAAAATTTACCATTTTGATCTTTTGCATTGTAGTTATCATTAAAGGGTTTTTGTTTCTTCCTTTCTGTTTTATAAGGCACAGTACTGAACTCATTGTCTGGTTAATTAATGCCTTGTGATGGTAATATAACGTATTTAATCAGGAACAACTTGAACAGATTATTTTCAAGAAGGAAATTTCAGTAATCTTGAACCTCCTATATTGAACCTACTTTGTGTATCTTACAGTAAATATATAATGATTATTTAATATGATAATATTATCATATAGAGTGTACTGTAAATAAGCTTCAAATGCATTTCAATTACTATCAGCTCTTAAAGAGAATTACATTTTAATTGCAAATAAATAGTATGACACAGGTACTGTATATGCATATGTTCATACAGTAACAGTGTTATAATAGTATCAAGATTATATTTATATTATATTAACTATATTAGGACATTTCTGGATCATTTTCAAAGTTAAAGTTTAAAAATAATATTTTAGGGTACAGTATGTATTATTAAATGATACTAGTTTCTGTAATGGCAAAGTGGATTACACTTTTTTGGGAAAAGTAAATAACTTAGTCAAAAGATACAAAAACATTAATGTTTAAAGTGCTTCTCTTATTATTATTATTGATCATGTTGCTAAATCAGTAGAAGAAATTTGGAAACCACATGATTGTCGAAGGAAACTGAGAAAACCTGAATTAAAAAAGGATAATTACAAACATTAGAGTACAGATATTGACCCGAAAAAGAAATGAAATTGAAATGAAATGAAAGTCTAATGCATCCAAATATAGATATCAAATCAAAGAGCAGAAAACACATCAAATGAACATAAGAAACATGGCACATGGGGCCCTGTAAAAAACAATATAGAAAAGTTACAAAAGAGTGGAGGCCTTTTAGCCTATCTGGCCTGCTTGTCGTTTGTCTGCTTGATCAGAGGATTTCATCCATCCAGTTTGTAAAAGAAGACAAGTTATCACCTGCAACAATATTCTGGGGTAGATTGTTCCAGACATCCACATACTGTACGTTTCTCCTGTTCTCAGGATTATATGTTTTTAAATGTACTTCCCTTTAGTTTCCATTTTTATCCACTGGTTCATAACTCATTGTTGAAGTCCCCTGAGGTTAATTTCTCGGTATCTTTTAGGAGTTTGACTACTATGAATTATTAAGAAAGGTTACAAACGATTACCACTTGCCTCGTTTGGTAGAAGCTAATTGATCCAATGATTCCAGCCATTTTTTGAAAGAACCCAGGGTGGCTTCTGGTAACTGGCCGGGTAGCTTGTTTCATACCTCCACAACCCTTTGGGTAAAGAAGTGCCCCTTGTTATGGATTTCAAATACATGTTTTAAAAATAATTATTTTTAGTTTCACAGTCATCTCTGATCAGGACTAAAACGATTTTCAGATTCGAATTTCTGATTGTCAGGGAAAACATTTAAAGCTCAGAATGTTTCTCACTCACCCTTTTTTCAGTTTTCAATATCTTTTTTGTAACATGGTGACTAAAATTCTGCATAATATTCTAAATGAGGTGATATTACAAAATTAATGTTGGCTATGACCACCTTAATCATCGGCATAATTTTGTCAATCCTGGACCTGGGATGCCATCTGCATGGAGTTTGACACATGGATGTCTCTAGTTTGTGGGATTGTGATGTAGCAGACCCAACCCCTGATGTAAGGAACTGATGCATTAAAATATTACATAATTATTTCTCACCTTGTTTTATAATGAATATTGTGGATATTATCATATGAAGTAATGTACATATTGTTCTGTAAAATCTAAAAGGTAAATGTTCACTTACCTGATGGGGTTATAAAGATGGCAGTGGAAGTTTATTGTGATTTGTGCTTTAACGAAGGCAATTAGGGTGGCATGTTAATTGGCTTCTGGGAAAATTGAGTGTATCTGTGTATCTTCCCTATCTTACACTGGCATCCCAGCCTTGTGTTCACTGCTTGCTGAAGATCCCCCATGACCCTGAATTGGATGAAATGGTTAGAAAATGGATGGATGGATAACGAAATTGAAAACGTTTCCTTTTTACAGTAGTTTGTTAATGAAAATGAGCACATTTGCTCTGTGAAATGCATTGCCTCTAAGCAAAAAAAAATTGCACATTCATTTGTGAAAAAAACAGTATATTCTTAATAATTGTAATTGGGTTTGAAAGAATAAGCCTAACAAACAACTGAAGTTTATGGTGTTCTCATCCAGATGTAATGCCACTTTGGTGAACAGCAGTTACAGTACCTTAACATTAGCCATTAGGTACAGTATCTACACATTATCTTCTGGTTCCATCTGGTTCTTCAAGCAGAAACATGTAGTTACCTGTTAACACCACCACTTCTCCACTTCTGCCAGCAGCCATATCACTCTGCAACTCACAACTAGCAACCCACTGAACCCGCTAAGCATGTATGAGCCTGGTCAGTACCTGGATGGGGGGCCTCCTGGGAAAAACTAAGTTTGCTACTGGAAGAGGTGTTAGTGGGGCCAGCAGGGGGTGCTCACCTTGTGGTCTATGTGGGCCCTAATGCCCCAGTATAGTGATGGGGACATTATACTGTAAACAGGTGCTGTCCTTTGGATGAGATGTAAAACCGAGGTCTCTGTGGTCATTAAAAATCCCAGGGTGTTTCTCAAAAAGAGTAGTGGTGTAACCCTGGCGTCCTGGCCAAATTTCCCATTGGCCCTTACCAATCATGACCTCCTAATAATTCCCATCTATGAATTGGCTTCATTATTCTGCTCTCCTCCCCACTGATAGCTGGTGTGTGGTGAGCGTTCTGGCCATTGCATCATCCAGGTGGATGCTGCATATTGGTGGAGGGAAGTCCCCATTATCTGTAAAGTGCTTTGAGTGGAGTGTCCAGAAAAGTGCTATATAAGTGTAAGCAATTATTATTATTATTATTATTATTATTACTTCTTGTTCCACAACCATTGATGTTATCAAAGTCACAAATGATGGCAATTTTCTCTTGACTATCAACATTACCCCTGCACATTAGCTCGACTTGATGTATAGCTTCTTCGCAAGCCACAGTTATTCTGCTAATGCACAAGTTATTTATTCCTGGAATTTTTTATGCTGCAGCTACAATTATTATGCAGATGTATGGCAAGGTCCTGGACTGTTGTGATCACCTTCAGCTTTCCAGGACATTGTCTGTTCTTCCTGGACTTCCATCGTTTCAGTTGATTCCTGAAACATAACATTTCAATCTCTAGGCAACTTTTACACACAAGCAGTCTTCAATCATGCCAATAGTAACAGGTGATCTTCACATACAAGTGAGACATGGTGGAGCAAGCTGAACTTCAGTGTATAAATAAATGATGGATGTTGCACACAATGTGTAAATGACTGAAAAATTGCAGCATAATATTTAATGCAAAGTTGTTTCTGTCATGTGCCCTCAGATATGTCTTAATTTAATATTTTTTGCATGGATCTTTGTTTACTTTGACTTCCATTTTCCCATTTATTTCCAATTTGCTTTTTCAGAATTTATGGTGGATTTTATAGCAACAAAGTAAAGTATATGTACAGTACTTGCAACCATAGTACTGTATATGTTTTGATATTTCATACTTACCAACCCCCTTCTAATTTGTTCCCTTGATTGTTAAATGGAACCTTTAGTTATGTTCTATATGTGCGTGGGATGAATATGATATTACTCATTCTTCTTCATTAACCCTGGTCTCTGACATCTCCCTGTTCTTACGTTCTGTAAATAGATAAGCATTTCCTCATTATAAATTTACTGAAAGCATGGATAAGATAGGTGTCCCTAGAAGTACATCTTAGCCCTAATCCTTGTTTTATCTAAGTAGATGTGTGCAATTGTAGGCTAATTAAGCAACTGATCAACAGCTGAGATACTGTATGCTAGGTTTTGCTGAGGACCTTTTCTCTTAGAATTATGCCAAAGCCTTTAGCAATCACTTTCTCCCACAATGATACAGTATACCACATATGACAATAGGCCAATTATTGATGAGGAATGACAGAACAACATTTTTCTTACTGCAAAAAATGTGCATGGCAAATTATAAACTATTTAACATAGAATGTTGAGGGCCCCAACTAGCTCTGTTGGTAGAGTATAAAATTCATAATCTCAGAGTAGTGGGTTCGTGTCCCACAATGGGTGCCAGGTCCTCCATATTGCAGGTTGGGCACAAGGCTAACAACCCTGTCCTGCAAAAAACTAATGTTACAGAAACTGCAACAGGATTTTGCTGCCCGTACATGCTGGAAGGCGTAATAGGCAAACATCCAGCCGTTACATAGAAATTATTTTTTAACTTTTTATTTTATTTATGAAAGAAGTTACAAAAATAACATATACAGTACAAAGTAAAATAATTTACAACTTTCATCTTTCCTTTTTAATTAACTATTCACATTATGCCAGCATGGATGGGAGGTTGCATCTAGAAATATAATCCACAAAAATACAACAAATAAGCAACAATCTAGACAAAACACAGTTTCATCCTCTTTCAAAGAACTAACCCTGGTCTCAATGGGGCCACAAACCCAGGCTTGTCAGTATTTGCTAAACCTTTCTGCCTATAACCTAAGAGAAAAGGTGATCTTTTCCATAGTATAAATCCATCTTTCGGATGAGACGTAAAACTGAGGTCCTGACTCTCTGTGGTCATTAAAAATCCCAGGGCGTCTCTCGAAAAGAGTTGGGGTGTAATCCCTGCATCCTGGCCAATTTCCCATTGGCCCTTACCAATCATGCCTCCTAATAATCCCCATCTATGAATTGGCTTCATTATTCTGCTCTCCTCCCCACTGATAGCTGGTGTGTGGTGAGCGTTCTGGCGCACTATGGCTGCCATCGCATCATCCAGGTGGATGCTGCA